AATATTGCTCTATACAGGGGGGGCCAAAAAAAAGTCATTTTGCCTCCATGACTTTCAAGGCGCTATAAGTTACACTTTATTAAATTTTTATCGGACATTTTTACTACCATATTAAAGAGCACATTAAATACTATAAATGATACTCCGCCACAGCCTTCTGGAGGAGTGCCATCATGAGATTCGCCCAGCCGAATGAAGTAGATTAACCGATTGAAGCGTTAGGGGGATCGTTGATTCTTCCGCCACGTCAGACCAGCCCATGTTTGAACTCCGCCCGAACCGGGTAATTGAGGGGATACAGGTCAGGTGACCTACTTGGATATTCTACCTTCTTTAGGTATTCAGCCCCCTTCCATTCCAAGTAGGCGGGAGTTTTTCCAAAACCCTTTGATTCCATGTGGTGGCACCCAAACCTGTAGCAGCACAAGGTCTCCAAGAAGGTACGGGCGACCACATGTAGGGAGGATATTCTTCTCGAGTTACTTGATGTAACCGCCAGCGCTCACCTTCAGTCGGGGTCTACAAAGAAAATATCGGTCTTCCCCTTTCCAGGTACCCCGGTCCATACCATCAACTCGCGCCTCGGCGAATACGGTGAAGATGATGTCCTAGACCGTAGCGACGTTGCCGTAGCTGGTCGATGTGGGAGGTCTTGCAGATCAAGAGTACTGACCTCCAGGTAGCTATCTGTGGATGACTTCATTCAAGAAGTTTCGCAGCTGTTTGGAGGCGACGTGAATTCCAAAGGTGTTCTCCAGTCAGGCCGCGACTGGAGATGACTTCATATTTTGGCGTACATGAAGGCGATTGGCGGCAGCGTGCTCCAGCTTATAGAGGAAGATCTTGGGTATCTTCCACTCTGGTACTCATATCCACTTCCCCTGTCTGGGCTGCGAAAACTTCGTTGATATGTGGCTCGGCCGAAATGACTTTTTTTTGGCCCCCCCTAGTAGTTTCTGCTTCTGTGCACTGAAAAGACTATATACCGGCAGCGAGCTTTTCGTTTTTTTTTTTTTGCGGGGATGAAATACTTTCTTTCAGAACTTTTACCTTTACAGGCTGTAACAATTAGCTGCGCCCCTACAAGAAGCCCCGCCCACTTCACAGAAGCACCACCCACTTTTCAAAAAGACCCAGATCGGCTGGTCAGAGTCCGAACTGAGCAGGTACTTTACCTGACAAAGCCACTCCTGGTGGGATGGCCCAATTAGCATGTAAACTGGCTTCACGGGCATTATGCTTAACCCGTCCCCAAAGTAACGGTCGACCGGAACATCATAGGCGAATGATAGAGTGGGCAGTCGCGTCAAGAAGGGCAGATTCTCTTCATTGTAAAAATTCAGACTACCCCAGGAGTGCTCATACTGTTTGGCTTCGCTCTCACAGTGCGATGCGCGCGTCAGAGAGCGAAGCCAAAACATGTCGAAATGAAGAATAATAGGAAGTACTAACTGGTGGTGAGACATCGCGTATGCCAGCAATGACGGAACTCCGCGACGCTTCATTGTGACTTCTTGGTACATGACTGCTAAAAAGGAGCATTTTACGTTGTACGAAGAGCGGCACAATTGGATAGCAATGGTACAAACTCACTACTGACTATCTTGCATAGAATTTGATGTTTTCGGATCACTAAAGCCCGTCAGACGAGAAAACCTTGCACGGCTATAAGAAACGCGTTCAGACATTTTTCTACTGAGGACCTAATCACAGTACTACTCGATGACCGATACTCTAATATGGAGAAAGAAATCAGCATAAGCAGATCTAATCGGAAAAAGAAAGTAAAAAGAAAACTCACTCTGACAAAGACCGCAGTGATTGGAACCTGACGCTCTGCTGAGGGTGTTTATCCTGAAATTACCAATAATTTCCCACAAGTTTTCTAGTTGCCGTTTATAAAGCACAACCAGGAAAATTAACGTGAAATCGAAAGGAAAGATAAACGAACCGACTGAAGAGATTTTTTGGGCGGGAAATCCGAGTGCAAAGCTGACAGAGGCGAGGATACCTACAAAGCTATTAA